TATTTAGATTTCAGGTTAGCCTTGGTGTGCACTCATGGCTCTAGAATGTTGCGATGCAGGCGAGGAACCATTCTTTACTTTATGGACATCAAAGCAAATCACGTCCAAGCCCCCAACCATAAGTGCAGTCGTCATAGAGAAAACCATGGCAACAACACAGTGGCACGTAATCGTCTTTGTAACGTGACGAAGATGATCGAAGAATTACGCAGCCGTTGCCAAGGGAGAAAGGATTGCTGGATAAAACTAAGTGGAAGCCTCATTGGGAAAGCTTGCACAAGAGAGGTGGCATTCTTACGGGTGAAATACACTTGTGAACAAGGTAAGGATTTTATAAGTCTTGTCTTAAGTTGGCTCGATACCGTTTTCGCCTGTTGAAAGGTTTGATGACTTTTTCCATTGAAATTCTCATCTAATCAGTATCTTCCTCCATCATTTGAGTAGTTTCAAAATTGAGTGTCGAAAATAATCCTGCGTTGCTTTGGTTTCGCTTTACCTCGCTGATTGGTCCAGAAACCTCGCTCCCTGATTGGTCCAGAAAACTCGCGCTACTCTCTCAACAGTCAAAATGGAAAACTAAAATCAATCATGCCTTGGTCACCCGCGTTTTCCCGCGCTTTAGGAAGTTTGGTCATTTTCATTTTGATTTTCATTGGATCTTAAAGGTATTTTCTTTTCTTAAGTGTCGGGTTTAAAAACACCAAAATATGAGACTATTAATTATTAATTTTCGATTGATCGTCGTGATTACTTTGGTTTTGATTTTACGACGCCCAATCGAAATGTGCTCTAATTATTCGTCTCCCATTTTAATGCTTTTAAATCCTTTTTAAAGCAGCCAAAATTATGGAAAAGACTTCTAAAAATAAAATGTTGGGTGAAAAATCGAGAATTTAATCTTATGTTAACATGGATGATTTTGAATTTGGTAACTAACAAGCCCTATCATGTGACTTCATTGTATCGAATTTTAGACATAAATCTGGGAGCTTATAGTAGCTCACCCAACATGTATACGAACCAGTGCAATATCTTATTTTCTCTACATTTGCTATAAAGGAGTAAATGATTCGGTTGAAAATCCTGAGAGACCAGACCATCCAACGTATTCGGATCACCTTGACAAGCTTTGCCCTGAGACTTATGACGAAGAAACAGATGATGTCAGTGGTGATGATGATAGTAACGCATATGATGACTACGTTAATGATGTTGATGATGGCTGGAGTGATAATGATGACGATGAGAACTACCCCACTGGATATGACGAAGACGTTCATGATATTCTTGACGATGAGATGGCTCAGATCAACGGTTTCCTGTCCAAGCTGTTTGAGCACAAGAGCGGAAAAGATCACCGCCCGCGGTATAACTGGATCAAACAACCTGACTTGTACAACGAATTCAAATTTAATTTTTCTTCAGGTAAGACCAGTTTACAACTTTAACATAACGCAAACTTGTAGGAAGACGTTTGTCGTCTTGTTACTAACGTGGGACAAGGAAAAAATTCTGAGTCCCTATGTGGAATCGAACTTCAGACCTTTGGATTCCGCGCTGCAATGCTTTACCACTGAGCCACAGAGACTCTATGGTGAGCGAGGTCTATTACGAAATCGAAGTCCATATGACACGCTTCTTACATACTGCTAGGATCAACTATGTCGATAGCGTCATGTCCTCACGGGGAATTGGAATTTTTTTTTTGGTCCCACGCTCGTGACAAGACGAAAAAAAAATTTCTTTATTTCTTTACCGGGCTCAAAACTTACTATCTTTCCTATTCTATTTATAACACAAACGTGCATATCAACATTTCAGTAAGGGGTTAGTTTAGGCCAAAATTTATAAAGAAATTTCACCCTTTATAGCTTTTGTTACTTACATTACGGAGAGGGAATATAAGAGGGAAAGTGCCCGGCTCACCTCAGCGAAAATCTGTTAATCAAACAAGAGAGGTCTGAAAATGAAAAGCGGTATCTGCAAAAATATTTATCAAAGAATTTGAGCATATTAATGATGGAATGCTTTTTCCTTTGCTTTCATGTCTGAGGGAAAAAAACCTATCCGAAGATTTTATTACTATGGTATATCTTTTTAATTTATATCTTTGTGGTATTTACCTACTTTTTATTCATTTATTTACTCATGTTATTTTTCAGTTTGCCCGCAGAATCAACCACTGCTGTCGAATTGCAACCAGAGACTGTGCGAGGATGTGAGGTGTGACAATCGGAGGAATGTAAGGTGCAGGGTAAACCCATGTGGTACTTGCAGACCCGAGTGTTACGACGTGGAAGGAAACAAAGTGCAGACTCCTCGAGGTAAGAATGAAAAGTGATTTAATTCTTAATAATCTTCAGTCAGGAGCTTGAGGTGTTATCCAGCTCTTTATTGGGAAATTTACGAAAAAATTCGCCCAGCTTTCAATTAGTTGATGTATGAATACCCAGAAATTAGGTTTATCTACAATGTCACGATTTGCTCATGCGCAAGAAGAGGTCTGAAGATTTCAATTTCTGGTTAACACTGAAATTACCAAAAGCTGTTGTGCTATGTATCATCCTTGTTAGAATATTGGTTTTTTTCACAGCCTTAACAAAGTGCGAGTATCAGCGTAGAGAGATGCGCCACCAAAGTTTTCGTGGCCACGTTCCGAGATGCAAAGAAGACGGAAGCTTTGCTGAAATTCAGTGCTATCACGAGGTCAAGATATGTTGGTGTGTTGATAAAGAAGGAAGAGAGAGGAATGGTACGAGACAGAAAGGAGCCCCCTCAAACTGTAGCGCAGGGGGCCAAGGTGAGAGAAACAAAATCACTCTGTCTTTGAGTTTAGAAGGAAATTCCTAAAGCCACCGTCGTTATGTCATTTTGACAGATTGGCTTTTTAACTAAGGCTCGTTATCTTTGGACGCAGGCCAAGTAACAAGTACCAGGTCTATCGCGAAACGTGCTCAAGTTCGTCTCTTCGCCAGCCTCGACTTGATTTCCTCAAACCAGGTTTCCTGGCGGTTGTTTAAATATACTGAGCCAGTTCAAGATCTAACGAACATACCTGCCTCTCATATACTAGAGTGCTAACCCATCTCCCCCGAGAGTATGAGAAAGGTTAACGAAATTTATAAAGTGCATATATTCAGCTTAACAAAACAGAATTTCGAAGAAAAGTTTTAAGAATGTAGGCGCTTCGTCGGTGGAATAGATTTAACCGAACTGTAGCGCGTTCTACAGGTTTTCGTTTTACGAGTGAACGAAATATGTAGGTATACCTGCGATCGAGTACGCAGAAGAATTAAAACTTAGCCCGATCATGCTATTTAGAGTGATCTGTTGTACTGCTGTATCGTTCTAGTCTTGTCACCTTGTCAAACAGCCCAGCTCAGCAACAGAGACCTCAAAAAACATCTCCGTGTGATGTCTAAGAGGTACGAAAGGACCGCAAAGACTTTAAGACTTAGAGCACAAAATGCGACCCAAAGGAGGCAGCAAAGGAATGAAAGCTGGCAAAATATTAGGCAGTGGTCGCAACGGGCAAGAACCTGCCGCAAACTTGCGCGGATAACTCGCCAGCACGCGGTGAATACAACTGTTCCGAATTGTGCTGCAGACGGAAGTTATGACAGCAAACAGTGTGCATGGTCTAAAAAATTCTGTTGGTGCGTTGACGAAAATGGGGGGCCAAGGGGAAAAAAGCAATTAAAGCGATATGAAAAACTCAACTGTTCCAGGACTGCAGCTGGTAAGAATGAGATAATTTACGATCGTTAGGTAGGGCTGAGTCTGCTTTTGAGCTGCCGGGATAGTACAGAGACCAATTTTTTCGATTGAAAACTACATAGACAAAGGATGAAATAACATCTTTTTAGCTAGAATTCACAGTTTTCGTCTAAAACGAAAAAACACTCCGAGTAGAATCGACTATTCTATGCCAAAGTCTGGATGTTCCCTCACTGTTTCCACATTTTCTCATGAAATAAAAGCTCTCAAATTCGTTTGTCACTGACTTGAATTACTGGAATTCCCCTCATTCAATTACTTGCGGAAATCAATTATCGTTCCTTATCATCCGTTGGTTGAATATGATTTCCCTTTTTCAATCCAAACATATTATAATTTTGGTGATATAAATTTGGTGTGAGAACAGAACCCCCGGCTGACATTTGTCGTAATTTTTTTACCCAAAGAGTAATTTCTTTTTGATCGAGTTTGTAAGCGGCTAAATTGGATCGATTCAAAGCCAGCCTTTTCTGTTATAGACAAACCAGGTATGTGCCCTGTTATGCCAACGTCCGCCGCCTACAGGTGTAAATCCCAATGTGCGACTGACGCGGACTGTGAAGGGGAACACAAATGCTGCATGATGGGATGTGGGAGGAGGTGTGTTCCTCCGAACGAACCAGGTAAGAAACAGGCACGGTGGTGTATCTTTTAATTTTTATCATTTTCAGTTTCCTTCGCAAATGAAAGAAAGAAGAAGCTAAAATGACAGCAACAAGGTTCAAACCCCAGACTGGACTATTACTCAGGGTCATAAAATAACTGGGAAGAATTTGCTGCCATTGCTTTGAAATCGACAAATGATTAGACATTCTGGTCTTCTCGGAATGTAGGCCCCCGTCTCTTGTCTCTTCTCCGTACTAGTTAGCAAGGGACGTTAAAAAAGAACCCACATACTTCCCGTAAAGAGTAGGGAACATGGCTCCCGGTGTTGTGATCTGGCCTCGTTATTGTTTAATTTAGTCCGCCATTTAAACCAGCATTGAGCTGAATTGGAGCAGCCTATCTAAATATCCCAAATACATACATGTAACAAACGAAGTGAGGAACCCCACCCTCATACTTGAAGCCCCCAAAAAATTATTACAATTATAATTACATCGATCTAATAAGAGAGACGAAAATTTTCTTTGTTTAATTGCAGTGTGCCCTAAGGACAAGCCTTTCAAACTGTGCATCTATGACAAATGCCTCTCATCCCCAGGCTGTTTCAATCATCCCACAGCTTATTGTCGAATGAATTATTGTGGAGGATGCGTCGCTGAATATTTTGATAAACAAAATCGAAAAGTAGACTGCAGTAATGGTAAAGAAAGGTCTTTAATACTTCAAATTATTTTGATGCATATCACGATTCTCCATGACTTTACAGTCCTCATCATAATGATGATAATTCCAGCCATCTTTTCAGATGGTGTGACATATTTACTTTAGACATTGCCAATCGAGCGAGTGGCTTAATGGCTCAGTTGATGGTACCACTCGACCATCATCGGAAAAGTTCCAAACTTTTCGAAGCTTGAGTTTTCTTGGGCTTTATATTCTGCCTTTTCTGCAATTGCAGACCAAAATGCTTCTTAAAATTTTTCGTTTAGACGAAATTGAACTGGAATTCGACCGTTATCAAATTTACGATCATCAAAATTGACTGATGTCCCTGACGGTACTCAAAACAGAATATTATAATAATTCCTGAGTGAGGTATTTGTACACGTATGTTCGTAGGAACTCAGTGCCAAATTCAGCGACATTCGGCCTCAGAAGTGTACAAGAAGAAGTTTTTCGGAGTCTTTGGTACTCTGCCAGTGGTCATTCCAGGATCTCAAGTTGAAGACTACGGTCCAGGTAGCGTAGGAGGACAGGATGAAAATGGTGGTAGCCAAACCGGCATTAATGTTGGCAACCCAGGTATACAGAATGGATTTGGAAATGGCGCCTTGGGATCAAGTGGATCACGTGGTTCACGTGGTCCATGTGGATTCAGTGGTTCAAGTGGATCTAGTGGAAGTAGAAGATTCAGAACCCGAAGAAGAGGGAAAGGATCCATCAATGGATTTCGCAAAGGAGATCAATCTGGACAGGAAAGACGTACAAGCAATAACAACGAAAACAATGGAAGGTAAATCTCCAGGACTCTACTGAAATCTTCCAACGATTTGATTGATGAGTCTCTATCGTTACTGCGCTGCCTTCGATGTCTTCTATCTCAAATGCAAATTGAAGTCCAGTACTTAATTCAACTAGAAAATGACGAGCTTTAGTCTTTATAGCCCAGAAGGCTGATACTTTCAGAGCTCATCCCAGTTTGCTCTTAGAAATTAAAGGATACACCTTAAGTCCATCGCAAGGAAAATCCTTGGCAATTCCTCAAGTCTCATTGACCTTTTGGTGGTGTCCCATTTATAAATGAGAGTAAAAGATGTTGTATGAGAACGCAATATAGTGATCCTGCCAGGCATCGAACCTGAAACTCTCTATCTCCAATGTAGTTTGCTAACTATGGAACTTAGCAATTATCACTAGGTCATCGAATCTATCACAAAACACGCAACAGACATGTAGAATCAGTAGCAGTGCCATAACTAACTATGGCCACTAACTGAGTTTGATTGAATGACCGATTGTCTCCTGCAGGGAGGAAGACCTTGGTGTGTTCATCCCTGTGTGTAATTCAAAGGATGGAGCGTTCATAACAGAACAGTGTAACACCACGGCTGGTGTATGTTGGTGTGTGGACGGAAATGGTCGAGAAATACTTAACACGCGCGAAAAGGTGGAAAGAGGAAAGAGAAACTGTACAGCAGCTGTTATCAAGTTCAAAAGCGATGAAAAGAAAGGTGGTAAGTCTAGATCATTACCAGATAATGAATGGACAGATATCACAGTTCTTGGGTCGCCAACAGAGTATAAAGGAGGGGTAATTGTTCATGTTTGTTAGAACACCGCTATCTGTCTTTGATAGAGAAAGTGGTAAAGCTTATTCCGGCATTTAATTCTGATAGAGGTAGCATTTGTTGAGTCTAGTGCAATCTCAAGGTTCGAACTGTCTTGGAAATTTGTGATTCAAGTTATGACGTTTTAGTCACATGGTACCAAAAACTGTTTATAAGTTGGCGGTTTATCGGCTAATTTATTCCCAAAAATCCTAATCAAAAATATGACATATTACATGATACATTAAGCCAAGAGAATACAAATTGAGTAAATTCTCTTGATTAAGCTTAATTTTTTATCTGTAGACACTTAAGAGTGATCACTTTCAAGACTTCAGGGTATATGCTGGTCTCTGGAGAGTGGAGACATTTAAAAGATTGAAAAAGACTTGCTATCTTAGCTCTGTATGTTTGAACTGAAATGAAATGCATTTCCGCTTGAATTCTAACGGTTTTTTTATCATGTTGTTAACTCAAACGTGGAGAAGGAAAGAAGGGGCAGAATGAATTGAGGTAAATATTACAATCTTGATACAGACATTTCTCGTGTCGGGATGGAAAGAGGAGAGCGATATTCTTTGATAGTTACGTTTCTCCTTCATTTTACATGACTATCTGGCGCAAATATGTCTGCGTTCACAGGGTAACCGCGGAAAGCAAACCTCCAAAAACGTTGGTAGATTTTTGCAAACAAGCCCAAGAAATAACCCCGTAAAAATGTCGATGCTGTAGACCCACACAGTATGTTTTATCACGAAAAATTGTGTAAGGGTGGACTCCATGAAGGCGGAATTTGATTGGGTAAACAACGTTATTCCCTTACTGTAAGGCTGTGAGCAAAATACAGGTTTTGATAGCGTGCATTATTTCATTGCGGTTTCCAAATTTATCACTCTTGATAAAGAATCCTTCAGAGATTCCGTAGGCTGTCAGGACTCTACGACTTAGAAAGGCCATTATCACGAATAATGTAAACCAAGGATTTCACAACAGGTTTGAATTGACAGCGTGATCATGGAATTTGATAGGGAGGTCCTTTAACACTTGTGCTTGTTTGTATTCTTCACAGGGTGGCAAAAGTGACTTTAAGACTGGCGGGAGACTATGATGAAGTCGCTGCGAACAAAGAACGTTTTATCAGGTGCGGGCATTTAAAAACAAGCATACCAAATCAAAGCAAATGCAATCTCAGACAACTCTCCACACTTGCTTGAGAATTTTTTTTAAGCGTCAGGGCTTGTAGAGTAAATGGGTGGAGCCCTTTTGATTAAAAGTGGTAGGTACCCATTCGTTCTGACGAAGGGCTAACGCTCGAAACGTCAGCTTTGAAACTCTTTGCGGTTGCCTATTTACGTTATAAGCTCAGTTGATAATAATAAATGACCCTGTTATACTCTCCCACCGAGACAGCACCACAGTTTCTTCAGAAACTCACCCCCTCTACCTAAGTCAAACTTCAATCATCATCTACATCTAGCCCTCAACGTAACTAGAAAGGATCTATTCTATACAAGATGTTTATTTGCATCTTGTTTTCCTGACCTTCCCTAGGTACGTAGAGGACGAAATTGTCAAGAAGTCTAATAATAGGATCAAGAAGAAGCAAATTCGGAATATCAAGGTAACTGAAATAACTACAATAACAATAGATAGCTTCAGCGTAAACTTAATGGAATTCTGAACGAATTCCCAGTTGTCTTCCCACAATCACAGAACGACACATGTTGCCATTCAGAAGTGTTTTACTTGGAGTTAGTAGTCTAAGCCTCCATTAATTGGCCAGCATGAAAGCCACTGGGTCACCAAATTCCCTGGGCCGAGTTGTTCAAAGCACGATTAAGCTAACCGGGGATTAGTGACAATTCTTGATTTAGTTTTGAAACTGTACAGGCAGTTTTAAAGTTTATATTTTTCCCTTCATTTTTGTATTACACCAAGGTAAAATCCTTCAAAACGTAAGCCCTAATATACACTTCATCTCACGAGAAATCAAGGACAAGTTAAAACCTCGATCCAAGGTTATCACTAACCGCGCGCCTCTCGAAGAACTGGGCCCAATTCTTTGGGGATATTGAACTGAAGAGTGACAATCCCAAGGCCTTTATTACAGTAGCGTACTACATAAGAATAAATAAAAACAAACAAACAAACAAACGATTTAAAAAAAGAACAAATAAATAGAACAGAACAAAACACAATAAAAACGAAAGAAAGTAAATCTCAATATTTATGTCATTCATTAACTTCCTGACCAAAACAGAATTTTTCCTACGGTATTTATATACTTTCAAGCAGAAAGGTACTGAAAGGGAAGATGGTTATCAATCAAACGGTATTGTTTGAATGCACAAGAACCTCCCTTAGCAAAGATTATGCGAAATTTAAAGCCGAAAGTCGGGAAAAATGATGTTTAGACGTTGGGTGTGAAATGCGCTGAAATGGGGAAGTGATACCTTACGAGAGAGAATAAGACATTATTGAATATGCCTGAGTTTCCAGAATGCTAATGTCAATTTTTTTCGCTCGGGCGGTCAGCTCGAAAGGGAAGGCATCAAAGTGACATTCGAAATCGTCGAAGATAGTGAGTCTACGGCTACGCTGGATGAAATCTTGGTAACGTTGGAAAGTCATGTGAGTCAGTTTTAATCATCAGGCCATCACTTTCCTTGGTCTGTCTTTGCTTATTCTGTGGCTGCAACTTGATTCAGATTGATCAGTGATTTATGTTTCCTTGTTTCATGCCCCACTGTCTATCCTGTTTGCTTTACTTTTCGACTTTCTCTTTGGAAACGTGAGCCAACTTTGGTTGCGATTCATCATGGCTATGACTAGGAGCTGTCATTGGCTTTGTCACCAAGCTGCTTGCACATGGCGATTTTCATAGGTGATTACCTGTAAGTCCTAACGTTGCAACTTCGTTTTCTGTAAACCAGATTAGATCCAAGAATTTTGTGGTCAAGATGCAAGACAAAGAATACCCTTCGGATGGAGCCTTTCATGTTTCGTTGTATGTTCAGCGTGATGACGACCGAAAAGAGTCTGAACCCAAACGTTTGCTGGCGATGATAGACGCAGCTACTATCGGGGCCTTTAGTGGGATTATCCTTTTTGGAGCAGTGTTGTTCGTTTTGAAGCTCTGTGTAAGTATTGACCAGGACTCAGTTGTTCGAAGGCCGATTGGCATTAACCTAGGGTTAAAATTTAATCCAGGTTTCTTTAAAAGTCTTTGAAGGGAAAATTTTCCCTATTGTTTTTAGAAGATCCAATGATCAAATTGCAAGAAAAAAGATTTAAACTGAATTTTATTTCAAAGTTTTCAGACCTGAAATCAAATTTCACACTAACCTGGGTTACCTTAACCTAGCTTTGAACAACACGGGCCAGGCGGTTAGTACTAATCCAGGAAAATTCGAGCTCTGTTTTGATTTTTAGTACAAAAGAGCGTATCCAAGGGCCGGATTTTGATGGTTGTATCTTGCTTCAAGGTGAAATTGATGGGAAAAAAAACACATAGGTAACAGACCTGTTTTGAAAGCTGCGAAGATAGTAAAAAATTTGCAAATCGCATAAGTTTGCATGTGGTGGCTCAGAATTGTTTCGCTATTTCCTACCACAATTTTTCTATCGCTCGGTACTTCCACTAATTTCATTTCCTTGAAATGAGTGTCAAGTTCCTTCGTGTCAGGGATTCGTTTATCCCGGCCTAGCAGATGGTGGAGAATTATGGCCAGTGATGCTCTTCTGAAGCTATAATCTATTTCAGTTGATTGCGCCGCACTTTATCAGCTTTAATCTTAAAAGGAGTGTCAATTTTTGTTCCTTTTAATGACTGAATTTTATCTCTCATGTGATCTAGCTCCGAAGGAAGAAGAAAGACCCTGAGAACTGGCAAGACAAGGTTGAGGAGAAGCCTCCGGTGGAACAGTACGTCATGCCGGGGCCCGAGGCAGTGACGAATCTGCCTCCTAAGACTGGGCCTGAGCTGGAGACAGGGCTATCATCAAAGCCTGACTCTCAGGATCATGTTTGAACTAAGATGTCGAATTTTTCCTTTTGTAGCTTGCAACAGTAAAATGCAATGACTTTACTTGGTAAACAATTGAAAGTGTAGTGCTTTTTATAAGGCTTCGCATTAATGAGAAAGTTAAAGTTGGAATAGTTTAGAAAATTTCTAGCCATCTCGCCTGTGAGAGAGTTAAGGGAAGGAGAAGGGCCCTTCAGTATTGAGCTCCCTTCTGAAGGAAGAATGGAGAGCGAGTTTTTCAAGCCGTTGTAGTTTTACCATTTACGCATGTAACCATTTGTTGATCACTCTGCTGATTAATAATAAACCTTTGATCGAAAGGAACTGTGTATTTTTTCAGGATTTCTTTTGTCTCCATACATTCTATAAGTTTTAATTATTTTTTTTCAACTTTCTCTGAATTTTTCTAAGGGTTAGGTATCAGCCTTTTTAGGGTACCTGTAAAAGACATTTTCCGTTTTCACTTCTGCAGATCTTTCTTTTGAAAGCCTATCAGAGCAATACCTTCGTCTGTGGATTGTCGAACGGAGGAAATTTGGGCCACTTTCTCTACCATTCAGACTAAACTTGACGTAACTTGGTCAATCACGTTTCTCGGCCTGTTTATTAAGTACGAATAATATTTCCACTTTTGGTTCTTATTGGCTCGTTTTAATATTTACCTTGTGCTGATTGGCCATCGTGATTATTTAGGTCTAGTGATGTGACAGTCAACGAAATACTACACCATGTAATTTATAGTTACATACATTCAATCACGAGTGCATTGATAAAGTTTGACTAGTGCCAGTTAGGAACTCCTCGATCACTACACTCTCCGAAAATAAAGGCTTTCATGTTGAATAAATTTTTCTTTATTTGCGAAATATTAAGAAAAAAAAATCAAATTTTTAAAGGCTTAAAAAAGCTAAAAAAATTAAACACTTTGATAGCCCTATTAGACCCACTTAAGTACAAAGTGGCACCAAGAAGTGATTTTGTTCAGAAGCTGAAGCTAAATGAAAATTCCTGCCAACTGCTTGTTCAATTCGTTATTTTTGACCACTTGGGACCTCTTTTCCGTGAAAACTTATGCAACATTATGAGTGAGTATAAATCCAAAAATGTACCCATGTCACCTTAATTTGCCTTACATAGATCGGCATTAAGAGAGAGTCAGTTCATGGAGGTTCCTTTGTGCCTTTAACTGCACAGCGCTGCAACGAGAACGCCTGATAGCATTACAAGGCCACTCAAACCAGCCCGTGAGGCTGCGTTGCACATGTCTTCTTCACAGCAAGATATTTTACAATCTGACGCACCAAGATGAACTTTGCAAACGGGATTTGCAGTCTTTGTGCAATAGGTTTTAGGTCCACAGGACTTCGCAAACACTTGGATAGTTTTGTCCTCAGTAGAGTAGTGAACCTTATAGCATGTAACGTCATTTCCGGCGCACGTCACTTTGCTTGACTTTTTATCGTCGCATTCTTCCCAAGATTTTGTGCTTGAACATTTGTGACAATTCAGGCCAAAGGCTAAGATAAAAGAAACAGTATATTAATTTATCGTGAGAATTACCATCGGAAATGATTTGACTCTTACCCTTTTGCCTATTTAAACGGCGAATTTAAACAGGAAAATCCATGACGGTAATTTTGAGGAAGCAGTATGGTCAAGTAGAGAGCGCCTTGGATTCTCCAGCCGGAGATCCTGGATCCGTGAGACGCAGGACATAACGGGCAAGCAGACAATGACCGAAGGAAATGGATAGCTTTTTTTCTGTCACTGACGTCAAAGCGTCACATACATAGAAAGCTTTTGAAATAGAGGGAGGAGGGGGTATTTGGTTATTATTTGGAAAATCGGGAGGAATAATATTCGGGGAACAAAATCCACTTTGTTCGGCCCCAAATGGAGGCGTATCAACGACATCCTTTATAGATGAGGGCTTTCTTTAAGTGACTACGTGCCTGCGACAAATTCTATACAAAATTATCATTGCATGACAAAAACTAGACGATATATTGTTTACTTTTAGCACAAAAGTTATAAAATATATAGAAGCTGGATATACTAATCAGACTTCAATAACCTCAAATGTAGCACATTTGCACTGTAAATTTTGCGATGAAATTGACACTCTGTTTGAGAGGATCACTCCTTTCATGGATATTTGAAATAATGGTTGTACATGCAAATCGTTCGATATTGTTCAGAATGCAAACAGCAGAACTGACAAAAAATTACAAAACCCAATTCGCTTAAACAAAGTTTATCCTTGGTACCGGTAATTTCCTCCATATTGAAGAGCAGAAAATATTCCGGCTTTATTTGGTGACAAGTTCAATTCGGAAGTGAAGACTTAAAATAATTATCACTTACAACGAAGAAAAGGCAAGCAACTCCACTGATATCACGTCAGATTCGAAACGCAGCAAAGGGCAGTCAAACCGCCTTTGAATGTCTGAGCTATAAGTAATATCAAAATCTCAATTTATTGTCACAATAGTCAGCCAAAGTATCGCTTCTTTACTGTTGTTGGGTCTTATGAGAAACACGACACTTAAGGTTTAATAAAGAATTTGCCTACACTGTCAGGCGAATAGTCAAAATGCCCCTTAACAAGAATCGGTAAACAAGGGCGCTAGCTCGAGCAAAAAACCAACACAAAATCATAGACCTTGTGAGGAGTCCAACCTCAGACCTCATAATTTTGTGATCGAATATTTTACCAACTGAGATACAGAATACTCGAAGGCGAACTAGGCGTTATAAAGTGTTTCTGCATGCAAATCATAAGTCTTTACTAAAACATTCGCTTCTTCCGCAAAGTGACACAATTCCGCGCCTAAATCTAGCAGTATTTGTTATAATTCCTTACCAGCATAGGGGATAGCGAGAAGTACAATAATCACCACCTTGAGCTTTAGATTCATGTCGTTCCCCTTGCTTCTCAGCTCGCAGCTTTCTCTTGTTTCGGTGGAACAGCAACTCAGACGGTTTCTTTGCGATGGATGATTGAGCAGAATATGAAAATTATTCGCATAAATTTAATTTGCTGCATGATATGGATCTTTCATCCTGATACACATGCTGTTATTAAGTTAAATGACGCGATCAACCACAAGTCTTCAAATAGTCCTTTTTGGGGCTGCACTTCAGACTGAATTCAATAGAAGCGTTCTGAAAGTAAATTCTCGTAAGTGCAACCTCAGCCTTCAACTGCGTAAAATCCGCCCGATGCAATTTCTGTATTCTTGCATTATAATTCGCAGTTTGTTTTGAAACGCGAGTAAGTGGGCATTGTTTATCCTATGTATTTTTATCTTTTTTCTCCCCTTCTTCATTTGCCGAAGGTTGAGATCACTTGTTGTCCTTTTAAACCTTCCGGGAAATTCCTGAAGACTTCCTCGGAATTCCCTTTAAGTACCACTTAGTTATAGAGACTCTAGCCTCCTTCGAAGTCATTGTTTGGTCAGGCATCACCTCCCCTACCAACATCAACGGTTACGAACCTGAAGACTTCCTATACCACGAATGGCTCCTTTTGAGTATCATCCTCGTTGAAACAGCGAGCTCCAGTGATGAGCTATTCTTACGCAGCCTAATGGCTTCCACTTATGGAAGCTTCAACCGAGTATTTAGGAAATAAACCCCTTCAGGCGGTAGTATGTCGGCTGATAATGTTCAGTCGCGGCCGAGAGATCGCCCAAAAAATTATATTTGGCCGAGAAGGGAAGCTTCAGAGGCAAATAAGAAATTTTGAGGGCAACCTCTCTCGGCCAAGGTTGTTATCAGCAGATATACCAGCAAGCCAGACCGGGGTTTATTCAGTTTATAGTCCTTCCATTAATTTCATATCGCGTGTCGACGGAAAACTTTGTTTTCTTTATTTTTTGTACATTCCGAGCAGCATTTGAGACCAGTTTTGTTCTGCCTTTAATCATAACTATTACAATTTCCTCAAATGTGATTGGTGCATCAGCTGCTTCATTTTTCATTAATCATTCTGAACAGTTGTAATCGGACAGTGTAATCGGACAGTTGGCTGTAATCGGACATCTGTAATTGAACAGTTGAAGTAGTCAATCATACCAGGTCCACTCAGCTAAATCCACCAATCAGAGCATTGATCACAATAACCATAGCAACAACCACTTATCCAAAGAAAAACAAGGCAATTTCCAAAAAGGAGGAATATTTAACTAAAGATATTGTCTACACTGGAGATATTTGTTCTAGGTGTATTTGTTTGTTTCGGACATTGAAATGGTTATGATTAATTGGTAACAGGATTTCTTGCCGTCCAATTCTGTCAGTAATCATACTCATGATAAACAAATCGGACTCCTGCTTCGCGGTCGTCCAATTTTGTCAATCACTCGTATGATTACAGACCGAATTGGACTCCACTCGGTCCTTTTACCATTATTAATACTAGCCTCTACAAAACCAATTCGTTTTCCTTCTATGTGAAGCTGAATTTTAGTTCCTCGTGACGTAAAGTAGTCAATTGAATCGCGCGAGAATTAAGAGGTGAGTTATAATCGCATCTAAATGCGTATGCGAACTTTTACTGGACTTTTATTCACGTATCTTCAACAAATATTACAACTGTGATACTCTGACGGACGAACTACTCGAAAGGATAATTTTTTATTCCGATGATTCTCGCTCTTTCCAAGATTGGCTCTTAGCACATACCCCCCATAATTACTCGCGATCCTAAAATTATATCATAGCGCCCAGGTGGATCTTTCTTCATTCACGGAACTCTCGTTTGTGCGACATTCTGATAATGATGCATAAAAATGATGTTTAAAACATGAAAGCATTCAGAGGTTCGTATCTATTTCGTGTTCACTATACGTTACTTTCGTAATTTTTAAGTTAGAATACTTCACTGAAAGTAACCGTTCACAAAGGTGAGTTTACTCAGCTCGAAAGAATACACTGAAGTTATTTTCCGACACCAGAACAGCCACTGACACCAGAGCGCATGCGGCCAGCAGCATCCCGCTGGTTATGGCATATGATCCCATATTGCACAGATCATGTTCACAACAGTAACTTTCGCATGTGGCATTCTGTGTCGTGGCCGCAAGGCATATTGGGTGCTCTCCCTTGATGCACTCATCTTCTTTTGCGCAGAATTTTGTGAACGTTTTCCTCATGTGCAGCTCGTGATGATAGATGGCTTTGTGGCACCTCTCGTTGTGTTCATCGGGACAAGTGTATTCTGTGCGTTTTTTCTCGCAGTCTTTCCAAGAACTCCAGCTCTCACATTTATAGCACTTGAGACCTAACGCTGCAGTGGGAAATATCAGATTTGTTGAACCGTTGTTGAGTTAGACCGTACGCTTGTTTTATGTGTGACAAACGTTATTCATGCATATTCCTAGGTTTTGTTCAAAGTTTTCCATCAAAGCCGAAGTACCAGGAAATTTTTCGAGAATGATGCATGATCAAAATGGCATGAGCAAAATGATGAAGGTTTGCAATAGAACAAAAGAGACCGAACCTCCTCCGTATTCGGCACAAGAAACGAAAGCAAATTTCAAAAAGGGGAAAAATTACAGCCAAAATTGACAAAAAAAAAGGAAAACAGATTATTTAGAACGTAAAAACCAAAGAAGCGATTTTGAAAATGAAAAAAAGAGGGGGGAAATGGGAAAAGCTTTAGACGCCGCTTGAATTGGTCATGGGAACATGAAAAATTCATAACCTACAGTGTGATAAATAAGATCCGAATACTGAGGTAGACTAAGTGTGTACAAAATAGAAAATTGTCAGAATTTGTTAAAAGTCAGAGCACAGATGAAATATATCTTTTTGTTGGTTCCGTTCTTGATAGCAACGTTTTTAAGGTAGATTATTACTTTTTAAAGTAAAGCTGGCTTGAAGAAAATAATTTACAGCCTGCTTGTCCATCTCACATATTGAGCGCCATGATGGATAACATAGGTTTACTAATCATTTGAATTTCGGCGGAAATGAAACAAAAATATCTTCAATGGAAGGCTAAAATTTTTTGATAATGCTGCGGGCATTCTCTATTCGAGAAGTGAATATATCGAAAAGACCGACGTCATGAGAATTTTTAAGAATCCAACCATTGATGGAATAACTCATTCTTTCCATCTGTTAACCAAAAGCTTACTGATAGAACTAAGTGGATCTTAAAAACATCAATATCTGAATTTCGAAAGACTTTATCATTTAAACACTTCGCTAAGAACAGTTTTCACTCAATGGACCATTGTAAGGAACCTAAGGCTGAAATAGCTTGAGACCGTTACCCGACATAAAAATAAAACCTACCCATGCTATAACTGTTGTTGTACGTGTGGTTAAGATAAACAATTTCAACAATCGATAGGAGATCGAAAAGAATCATTAAAAACTGGCTTTTTTTCCACTTACCCGACGGGATAAAGGAGAATAGAGCCGAGATAACACAAATTTGTCGAACGTGGGTAAACATGGCGATTGCTCTTTGGACAGCTACGACTTCCAGATGGAAAACACCTTTGCTATAATGTACGTGTTGATTGCAAATGTCATGGGGGAGGAGTGGGTGACAAAGGGAAAACGAGGATTTGGTTGGGAGAGAGTAGAGTGGCAGACACGGATGCGAGCAGGGATTTTCTTACTGGAAATCTTCAATTTATTCAGTCTCAATGTTTAAATGCAGATTATTTCTACCTATTTAAAACGGCATTATGTTATAAACGCAATCTGGTTGCAGAGTCTAGATTGACACCGGAAATAAATCAGGTTGTCTGCTTACTTTGTTACAGGTCGACATTGAGGAGTGTTTCATTTTCTTTCCCTATCTCTGGTTAGCTGACTATACTCTCTAACATGACAATATTCTATGTTAAACATCTTGCTTAAATTCACACTTTTAGCCCTTGAGTCTTATCTTGGGAATCAAGATTACATCGTGATCTCTTGAGACATTACATTTCGACAGATAGACAAGCATAAACAAATCTTGTTTAAAGCCTTCTCTAACCAGCCACCTTAGTGCAGTTCTTTAAGGGACCAAAGCGTGAAAGGAACAAGATTTCTAAAAGCCAACACTGCTACTGTGCATACCAGCATCGTCATACCGTTGGCATGAGGTTTTGAGCCCCCGTTGCACAGATTACCTTCACAACAATCAATTTTACATTCACTTGCGCTTGCGACCTTCTCAGCGTTGCAAGTTGGGTTGGCCTTTTTTTCACAATGTCCTACTATTCCACAATACTTCTTGTACATTTCTGCATCACTGTGTTCGAGGTAAACTTTTATGCAGCGATCGCTTAATTTCGGGCAAGTCATATTTCTGTGTTCACAGTCATCCCAGGAAGAAGTGCTGGCACAAATGTAGCAATTCAGGCCCATCGCTAAGGAAAAATTAGTTGTAATTTTATCATTCAAAAGATTTTAAGTCTGTCTTATGGATTAAGGCCGCATCTACACTTTTCTGTATGAATTAAAGACACAATTTAGTTTTATCTACCAGCGCTACCCTAGTAATAATTATTGTACGGATGGAAAACATTTGATCAGTTTGCAGTATGAACGGGATTTGTTATCATTATTATTTCTAGTTCATACAGATTGAAAATGCCGTTTTCAAAATCATTATGGGTAGTTAGGAAGGGGTCTTGTATTTTTATTAAAATTAAAACTCCGATATCAGAAATGAACAGCAGTAGCTGGATTCCAACTCCTTCAGTCGCCCTGGATCCAAAAGGTGTCATGAGCGCGTAAATGCGGGCAAAAATATTTCTACATTTACCAAAAGAATTTAAACTGTACAACAGGTCTTGCCATCATATTTTCGTCAATAGATTTCTATAGCTACAGCTGAAGACAGAAATCAATTCCTTTTCCCTTACTAATGGCTTCTTCCTCAACAAAACATTAATGTTTCCCCGCGCTAACACTTACCTAATGAAATGAAAACACCTAGGAACACAGCAGTGATGAACACACTCATAGATTTCATACTCGGGATCAGAGCTCGCGATCCTGAAGTTGATTATAGACAGATGCGGTACACTCATCAGTATCGACACTTATGCAAACTCAGTGGGTGCTTCTTGGAAAAACATTACTAAAATGTAAATATAATTTGACTAGTACCCAATCAGGCGTTTGGGAAAACAAAGGGAAAATCGTAGCAAACGGGGTGGTTATCAAATTTTCAAACAAGATTTGATCGGGCGCGACCTTGTAAACTGTCCACGATGATAAACTTTTTCATTTTGACACTCGCCGGTGTCCAATTTGATGTCTTCAAACATTCAATCGAAGTCACATAACAGACCTGAAAATCACTTTGTGGATAGTTTGGATAGTGTGCCATGACAAACATGAAGCGATCTTGAGCTTAGTATCGACGGTAACCTGCAATTGTGAGGAAGTTAGAGCCGGCTTCTTTGGAAAGAAGCAATTAGCGGTGAGCATGAATGAAAACGATTGGAATTTCCTCTCAGTGACCACAAGAGTCTTTCCTACTTGCTAATGAATCAGCTTTTAGTTCTTTTTGTCAAATTGATTTCAAATAGCGATAAAAATTACTAGCTAGCCAAGCAAATTATGAACCTCATTTATTTCGACTAAATCGCTCAATCCCCAATTTCAGGGAATTGAATAAGGTTCTCGAAAACCAATTGGTTATGATTGGGCGTATGAATAAAGGGGTAAGTTTCTAAAGAAACTGTGGTGCTGCGTCGGTGGGAGAGTATAGCAGGTAATTTAGTGTTAACAACTGGGTTGAAAACGTAAATTAGCCACCGTAAAGGGTAAAAAAGCTGACGTTTCGAGCGTTAGCCCTTCGTCAGAGCGATTAGATACTGTCTCATCCAATCTAATCGCTCTGACGAAGGGCTAACGCTCGAAACGTCAGCTTTTTTACCCTTTACGGTGGCTAATTTACGTTTTCAACCCAGTTGTTAACACTAAATTACCTGCTATGATTGGGCGTAGTTAATTGTTGTGGTTGAATTGTTTTTGTTTGAGAGGAAGGCACGAGTTTTCAAGACCAATCTCAGCGTGAAGCAAAGCAAAACTAATAAAAGCAATTATGGACTAATTTTGACACTGAATGGAAAATCACTCTTACTAATAAAATTCATCGAAATGTCTTTCGCAAAAAGCTAAGTGTGCGCCGTAACCCTTTCCGCGTCCTTCTTCTCCAAACATTTTTGTTCTCATAAAACCCACACTTACATAAATCTATGAGCTACATGATGGACCTCCAGTTTTTGTTTTCTTTTTAATTCATATCAATATGGATCGGGATCAAAGTATTAACGACTCAGTTACTTATTCCTTCGTACTATAAAGTTACATGGAGTGATGAAGAAACGCTTACAGCTCAGTTTTGATAACTGAAGATTTAGAAATCTCAGATACAACGAAGTATTACATTATAATCACTCTGTATTAAAAAACAATTTAAGCACAGGCTGGATGCCAATAATCCTCAGGACTTCGCTATTCACCGCATCCATAAAACAGAGTGTAATCCGTCCACGGGATTTTGATGAGACTGATTCATCTGTAAGATGCCGTTATCCAGAGATTGCAAGAGAGCGCATGACTACGAATCAAAAGTTCTATATTTTTGTGCAGAAACTTCGCCTGTGAAACACTTTATAGAAACTAAACATTAATTGTCAACTTAGCTGCAAAGACTAATAAAGGCAAATATATAAAAAAGTGCATTCACATCATAGAAATGGCCAAGGACAGAATGGGCCCTTGTCTCTCCTTCTACTTTTGCAATTTAGCGCCACCTTGAAGCAAGCCTTTACTGAGGGTAGCTAAAGGGAGTCTAGATGCTGTTTCACGCACGACTTTTAGACAAATTCACGAGTCACATATGTTTTAAACAGAATTTCGAGTGGCACGAATTGAAAAGGGAGCCTTCAAATCAGTTTTCCTATGTGCAAGGTGTCAGAGAAATCTTGAAAATCTCACGAAATCAAAGATAAAATTCCGAAGACGGGTCACGTATGCCTCAGGAGGCAAATTACGCCTCACGCTGCTTTATAAATTCACGAATCACGCTCGCTACTCTGTAAAATTCACACGTCACATGTTAATTTTGGCGATAATAACGCGTCACGTATAACCCCTTTGCCACCCTCTTTAGACTTGTTATGGAGATATATTCAAAATTGTGCGTGTCTGAAAAAAATATTTATAGCCAATTCCACGGTCAAAGTCTATGTTCTTTAATATACGACGGCTAAGGGAGTCGTCTTCATGCTATCTCGCTTGAACCTAAAAAATCAAAAAAAATTCCAGGCTACACCACCTATCAAGACGAAGAAAAAAAACGGTAAAATATAAGCCATAATTTGGAAAATAAATGAATTCATTCAGGAGCTAATTTAGTGGTAGGGGGGTGGCCAAGGGTAAACTCTTTTGTCGAAGGATGGGAAGGGAGGTTGTCACGAGCACACTTTTCAGTGTTACTTTGTGGGTTATTGCTCTGCACAAGCCCCGCCCCGTACCGCGCCGTACCGCCCCGCCCCGTACCGCCCCGTACCGCCCCGTACTTTTGAGAGTAAAGTGTGTTACCCATAAACGCAAAAAAAAAAAAGGAAAAGAAAAAAGGCCCCAGTCTGGCTAGACCCTGGACTAGACTCGACTCTTGGATCTTTGCGATCCGACGTGTTTATCAGATAAGGTTATAGGTTCAGTTAAAAGGTTAACCTTACTAAAAAAAAGATTATTTAAGTCACTACCTACCTGTTAGCCAGACAAATGCAAAACTTAATACCAGAGGGTCAACAGCCCGGAAACTGAGATCCACAAGGTAACCAACCAACCGATGAAAGAAATCTTTCGCTGTAGCGGCTTCAGCGTGGTGGCGTAGGACGTTGGGGCTTCGGTTGCTTTTAAAGATAACAGACTCAGTCGTTAGATAGAAAGAGAGAAACCTGTATTTTTTTTTGGTTGTAAATTTTTTTGCAATTCATTTTTAAGCGAACAGTAAGCTGGAGAACTTTGACTGAATGAAATCCGACCACTGTTTCTAATTCCAGTCCAATTCAAGCAGGGCGCGTAAAACATACAATTTTAGATTGTGGATTTGACCCTAGGTGCTCAAGATTTCTGGGAGCTATGATAGATTGTAATGCGTTCAATAGTCATGATGAGACTGTTGAGATACTGTAAGGCTGGGCTAATCACAAAGCGAAGTGAAACAAAAGCAAATCTAACTGTGGATGACTTTCAACAATCAACTGTACGATGCAGTGTTCATAATTAGTGTAATTTTCGACTAATTGTCGCAAAACCGAAACCAAAACTATCACCATAGTCAATCCTCGGTAAGAACTCGAAGTAAGAAAACAACAAGCAACAAACAAACTACCTGAAGCGCGCGAAAAAGCCCGAGACCAAGGCACGATTGACTTTAATTTAAAAACTGATTGGCTGAGAAAGTAGTGCAAGTTTTCTAGACCAAGTAAAAAAACCAAGGAATACCGGTTTTCTTTCGTCACTCATTTGAAATTGCTCTATAGCAAATAACGATAACAAAAATTTGGAGAGGACACTCACTGGTAGCTGGAAGTTCAATCCTTATGTCGCCCACTGTTTCTCTTCTGTCATATTTGCAGTTGATTGGAAAGAACATGTCCATCTTATAAGAAATCCCAACACCAGTTATGCGACGGATAATCTCGTTGGAGTACTGTATATAACTATCATTTAGAAGGATTCTCTCTGTCCCGCAGTTCCGCAGAGGAATATTGAAGAGAATGTGAGTGGCATTTTCGTCATCTGCCAAGCAGCTTGTATTTTTCAGATGCATTCCTTCAGCTTCAAGACCTGGGTAATGCGCTTTCTTGAATTCGGCGATGATGTATTGTGGCGTACATGTCACCTTGGGACCTGAAAAGAAAAATGTATGAACATTAAGGACCAGTAATTTTTTATCGTCTAAAGGGGGCAGGAAGGGGTGGGGGGGGGGGGGCCTTTGTATGATTCTAATTATCCCCCTCGTTGGCAGTTAAATTTCTATAGTCTCCCTCTATATAGGAACGACTGATTACCCCTCCGTTCCCCTTACCTAACCTTCCACTTCCCCCTCCCCCCCTCGTGATCGATAATGACTGACCCTAACCGCCACTTGATGTCTGTAGTTAAATTTCGGTACAGAATCGGTGTGGCGGTTATTTGATTAACAAACAACTCAACGGTAATAAACTATGGCTAGTTTTTGAAAATGATAAAAAAAAAATCGATGACATTCTTGTTCGTTAAAGGGAGAACACATTTAAGAATCTATCGTTCGTTTTTTTTTTTTTTTTTCGTACATGAGAAGGCGTTCTTATGATTCGATGTCTATTTTTGGAGATTTCATTTCTGCTTTAATGGTTTTCCTTTTTTCTCTGCTGCTATTAAAAGGTTTTTATGTCGCTCTCACTTCGAGAATTATGAACATTATTCACTAACTAAAACACCAGACCATGTATTATTATAAGAAGTAAATGTTAACTTAAAAGGCTAACAATATAACACCGATGTCTTCGGGGCCGTTTCTGGGTTTCAATGTATGTTTTTTATTTGTTCAATACCTGGAAAACCGTACAGGTCCAGTCGGGCACACGGAAAGTTTCGGATTTTTCGGGGATATAAACGAACATATCTTCCAACTGGATATGGCCCCAGAGGGTGAAACTCAGCCTCTTCTTCCAGCTGGTTAACTCTGACCAAAGTCTAAACACAACAAAAATCATAAGTCTGAATCTTTTTCAAATCACTTCAGAAAGAATCAGGCCAACATAGTAATGCATTGTAGTGTTTCTTTATTTTTTGGGTAATGATGCGTTGTGTTTAAGTACTTTGGTGTGGTGCAAATTATTATAGTGCATTGGAAGGCAGTGTAGTGCAGTTAAGTGTAATTTAGTCAGCGTTGTCAGTAATGTACAGAGCCGCAACGTGTCACACCGTGTCGTGTCGACTGTGCCGTGTCGTGCCGTACCGTGCCGTGCCGTGCCGTGCGGTGCCGTGTCGTGCCGTTGGATGTGATGTGGTGTGGTGAACACAACGGTCAAACGTAAGGCATGCGTGAGAGGATTAGTTTTAGGCACCCGTGCGCCAATTTCCAGCGCAAAATTTCTATGAAAAACATAAGAAACAACCGCTGTCTAGCAGAATATGCGAAAGAAAATTGAAGCATTGATGTAAATCTGTAACAATATACAAAAGTAGGGAAAAGGAGTTCTCGAAACTTAAAGCTTATTCAAGTATGAGTATCTTGTTCATTTACCATTCTGTTTTGAGTTTTACCAAAAGGGTTATACGCTTTTAAAAATCGTGACTAACTGACTTGTGTGGTCGTTTGTAACTTGTGTGTGACAACTTGGTTCTGACAGTCTATAGAAGCACTCCGTTTAGTCGTTAAAACTTTCACACGTGCGCAGACTTTTTACCAATGTGTTAGGTCGGCGTAGTGTTGAGTAAAAAAACAGTGAAGAATTTTCTTTGCCAATACGAATTGAAGAAACTCGACCGGGAACTTGCCCATAAACTGAAATAAGTGTTCCTCACCTTAGAATATGGACTAAAAAAACTGCCATCAGTAGAGAATTCCAGGTCGAATGAGTCGACGTTCCCGTGAATTCCACCCTGTACTATAACACCACACACGACATAATCTCTTCTCAAATCAACCTGGAGATACTCATTATTTCTCCTTTCCTGGGCGCACCATCCCTCACCTTCCGTATCGCCTATACGGGCGTGAAAAGGGGCTGTCTCGGGACTTAAGAAAGATGAAGCTGTGAATTGGTCGTCTGAAATCTTACTTCGGTCATTTAATCCTATGTTGAATTTCTGGCACTGTTGACCTTGAAAAGAATAAAAAGGCATACAAATTTGGTTTTGTGTAAGAATCTCTCCGATGATGAATTGCACGGTCTGGTAAATGATAAAAAAGTGCTTACTTCACACCTAAAAGAATGTTCGTGTAACTGACTGTTGACTGAATTTCTGACTGCTTCAACTGAAGAATGTCTGACTGACGGATTGATTGTGAGGGTGACTTCTAGACCGATTAACTGACTGATTCAAGGAATCAGTGAGTGAATGATTGTCTGAACATCTTCTCTTCATTTCTGTATTTTTCTTCAACATTATTATTTTGTCATTTAAAGGCGTTTGTGTGGGGAAATGAGCAGTGCCCCCCTCCTTTATCTCTGGCTTCTCGATATAATTCATAGTTACTGTGAAAGTTCTTCCATGTCGTGGTTTCTCTGACCACCTTAAAACCGTTTCACATGAATGTTGTTGTGTGGATGCAGAGCGGTGTCTCGCTCTGGACAGACTTTTTCAGGCCTCTTCTCTTTAAATAGTTCTTTTCTCTATGCTGCCTATTAGGTCTAATCTGAATGTGAAAATGCTTGATTACAAGTTTAAATCACAACATCATTGCTTTCTCTTCTGCATATTTCACGTGGGAAAAACAAACCACTTGTCACTGCCTCTTGCCACTGCGTACTCAGCACAGTGCAAGCAAAATATTACATTTTTGTTGTGGAAGAAAACTTTTTGTCCTACCTTCAACACAACGCCAACCAAGAAATAGAAGCTCCAATATTACCAACCAGGATAACTGTCGCATTTTTTCTGCTGTCTTCAGAACTCTTAGCTTCAAAACAAACAGAACAAATTAGCTTAAAAGCAGGCTCTCAAGCACTGATAATACTGAATATATATGTATCAAATAGACCGGACTTAAACTCTAGGTCTTAAACTGATAACTGAGAAGAATGTGCTGCCGGCTTTGCTATGGCAAATGTGTAGACATTCTAGTCTTCTTGGTTAAGGACGATGAACCTAATGCCCCATCTCCTGCATCTTCTCTGTACTTGTTAGCAGGGGACGTTAAAGAATCCACGCATCACTCGCAAAGAGTAGGGAACCAGTAGCCCCCGGTGTTGTGATCTGACCTTAACTGTTACTGTTTATCCAGGCTCACATTTGCACCAGCTGAACCGGGCCAGCCTGTCTAATTGTCGTAAATAAATAACTAATAAAATAAATAGTTTATTAGAAATTATTTGAGCTAATTCTGCATTTCTACAAACAGTGACGTCAATGGTAAATTTAGGGTTAGAATCAGTGGTCTTGTCAGAAGCTGCTCACCGGGTGTAGAATTTCCATTTCTTATGACGATCACCAGCAGTTTTTGGTCGTTAAAAAGTGATAATTAATTTAAGCTAAGGCACGCAAGATTCATTGCCTTGCAAACAAGACTTACGAACAGTTTCTAGTTGTAATAGTGTTGTTTGATCGTCCGGGTGAGTGTAGTCCTGAGAAATACTGCCGAGGGTAGTGGTGATTGACGTTTCGACAACCTGAGCTGAAGTCATCGTCGGAGTCAAATATTCAGGTTTATGGTTGCTTTGAGGGAGCATCCAACCAAACCAAATATATCTCGAGCAGAATTTTCTCTAGCAATTCTGTTAAATTATCTTGACTAAAATATCTTTTAATCCAGCAAAATCTTGAAGTTTAGGTAAACTTTTCTGTTTGTTAAGACATTTCTAAACAACGTCACCGAAGGAAGATTCACATTCTTTTCATGCCGTTACGATCTCCTTAGTAGGCACAAAATCCCTCGGTGGAATTTAAGCCAATACAGGCAATCCAGGATGTAGAGAATGAAAAAAAAAATGTGAGGTCGTGTTAATCTTGTTCAACCTAGGTAATAACAACGGATTTTATCAAAGTTTCCAAAATTGCTTCAGTGGGTTCAACGGACCGTGAAAACAAGCTTAGAACACTCTGGAAAGACAAATAACTTTCTTCACTTTCGTCTCATTCATAATATTGGAAGTTCTATATGGCAAAAAATCTTCTATTTAATCCTAAACACACTTAAACTGCATTATTTTGCATGCGTCCTTCGTGTTTTCCGCTCATTGTTATTAAGTCATAATATTGATAGCGTGAGAAAGGCTCGAGACATTTTGAATGACTTTCAAAACAACACAACCACAAAAAGTTTCGAAACTTGCCGAGTTCTTGCCTTAAGCTTTTGAATAATCTTGATCCTTACTGCTAAAAATTTAAACTAGTTACCAAGTACTTAAATCGTATTCATCATTACGAAATAGCTTGTGTTGCTAACAAAAATAAACAAATGTCCAACTTACAGCATCCCAAGCTCGATGGTTTAATTTACTGATCCTCCACGTGGTAAGAATTCCACGATTATTGCGAAGGGAAGGTTGTGCTGTTAGTGGTTTCCTCAAGACTTATTCGCCTTTTGACTACGGGAATTTATTCCACACAGATGTGAGCTCTGTTGAGCTTTTACTACGCTTGCGTGATGCTTGCCAAGCTTGAGGCAATTTGATCATTGTGTTGGAGAACAAAAAGGAATAGACCACGAATTTATTAGTTTGGGTTACTTACTATCATTGGTAGTTGATTACGTCTCCGGCAAAGGCGAAGTATTATGCATTCATTTACTCAATGAACCGGTACATACCTTAACGGCAGTCAATAAGTTATTTTCCTGCTGGTCTTCCAAAAAGCATAATTCTCATGTTTGTTATACTTTTCGATGTCGCGAAAAATTCTTTTATAGCGAAGGTTGTTCAGTTGTTTAAAATCTTTCCCACAGTGGTTCAGGGAAAGTCATAGAAGTATTAACTTCGCTGTAGAGGTAGAGTTGGACTCGTTCGACTGCAGTTGTCATAGGAAGCCTTAAACAGAAATAAAAACAAACGATCTTTCTCGATTTCACAGGAATTAATTCAATCAACAAACTTTTTCTTTCCTTATTGAATGTGGAATCGTTTTGATTGGTTCGGTGCTATTCCAGCTGTTTAGCGATGATAGTTAAGACAGTACAGCCTTCATTTATGATACTCTTGAAATTAGCAAGAGTATCCCGTAAATAGAGGTGTTCCTTCAATGAAGCATTTTTAAATTAAAATTTCTCTCAACAGTGTCTACCAAAAATGATTGAGAATAAAGAAATTGATCGCGAACTTAAGAAGCTAATAATCGTTAGACAAATTCTCCTTGCAAGTTCCATAGGTAACGTACAGAGAAGGGGCCTTGCACATTAATGTTGGGGTGTAAAGGGTTTGTTTTTGATGGTTCCTTTGACACAGATTACACTCTTTTAACAATTAACCAAATCCACTTTTGGGAAAATGAGTTGCACCAGCCGTTGACACTTTAAAGCAAAGAACGCTTCCTCGTTTGCGTGTACAAATAACCCCTTCCTGGATTACGGATAGAGAGCAGTAACGGACAGTCACAATGATTTAAAGTATGACTTTGCATACGTTCCAGTAACAAATCAACACCTGCTCCTTATCGTTGATATAAAGTAGGTATCGCTTATAATTTGAACGCGATTATTAACGTTCTAGTCATGGTAACTTTTACATGCACTTCGCGGTTTAAAAGTTCGCGAAGTGTGAGAGATTTAGGTGACGCGAAATTTACATGTGCAATTGCTAATTTCGAGTTCTTTGAGGAAAAGTTCATAGTAGTCATTTACGTTTAACGAGCCCCTCCCCCACCCCCCCTAAAATGAAAATAAATGACAAAAATAGCTCAAAGGTTTCACCTTTTCGACTCACTTCACTCCAGTTCTCAGTAACGTCATCAAGAGAGACAGACAACACTACTACTTAGCTCAGGTCGGAAAGTATACCTTTAATCAATAACAGTATTTTCATCATCAACAAAATAATTTTCCTTTTTATTTTTTATTAAGTCTTCAAATGGTCCACTTTCAAAACGGTTGCCCGCGAGTCAGGGAGACTGGATCTAGCAGACGAAGTGAACTTCCAGGAAAAAATGAATATAAAAGGACATTTATCACTTTTCTATCCCTTTTCAAAAATGCCTTTTTCCCAGAGAAAATCTTCTTAAATACATGTTTAGCTGAAAGTTTGAAGAAAAGGGAAAGACGAGAAGAGAAACAAACCGAACTACCAAAAAAAAAATTTCGCCGCTTTTCAATCACTCTTCCTTAGAAAACACGAGGATGACTCGTCTTCATATGCTCAACCCAGGCCTCTTGGCCCTCGCACAAAGATATTGAACCTGGACTATTGAGTTTCAACAGGAGCACCGTGGCTCAAATTTTGCTTAATGTGGTGACTTAACTAACAACCATGATACGCATGAGTAAGTAGAGTACCATTTAATCAAACTTATACTTTTCCCATACTTCGTCAAAAAGCGGTTTGCAGTTGATTGAGGCAGCAAGTTTGGCACACAGTAAAAACGAACCCGACATCTTCCGATGGAGGGAGTATGTTTCCTCGGGGGGTGGGGACAGGCGATGACGCAGCATGACCGGTATGAGTTCCTTGATGCGACTGGTGGTGTCCTGGGCCTGAAAGTCGAACGGCTCGTTCTTGGAGAATGGCTCTCCAAGGATCATTACTGCGTCTGCGTGTGCGTTGATCATCACCTGTACCATAAGGAGAACAAGAAATCCGTCAAATGGATTAAAAACAGATCCCATCTGATACGCACTCAAACGACTTGTCCACCATACCATTGACAGGGAGCCGAAATGACCCTAGACTCGACATCAAGAAAAACATTGTGAATAATCACCTTCGACTCGTATCCAGTAAGAAATCCAAGACCGATAGAGTTTTCAATAACCATGTCTCGGTCTCCAATGGCTGCACCTCGGATTATCTAGGAGAGAAAAGGTAGACACGCACAGTTTACAGAGACGTGTTTAGAAATGGCATGAAACGTGGTTTGCAGATCATTGGAGGATGGAGGAAGTTACCTCGTTTGATACAGTGCAGAGGAGAGAAATTCTGGGAATGAAAACGTACAGGAAAGTACTCTGAATCAGTGATTTCTGAACGAGTCAGTGAGGGTATATGCCCGTAAAGTAAACCACGATGGGCACCTCCACACCCTTGGGGAGAGATATCAATGCCTAAATATTCTGCGATCACAGAGCAAGTACCTCATTTCGGATGGTATTGTGCTGAAACACAGAATAATGTTGATATTTAGTTCACTTCCTTTATCCTATGTTTATTGCTGAGATTCTGTGCTACTTACCGAAAAAAACTTAAAATGTCTGATTTTGATGAAGGAAGGAAGAGGAGGTAGGGGGAGGTTGCCATAATTGCTGCAAACCCACCCTACCCCACCTGTGTCTAACAGTGGAGGAACACAGGGGCAAGGTATGCCCTTTTTAGCACATAAAGGAAAAAAAGAAATACACCCTTACCTTAATATACTTATCTACAAATGTCTTGCCATACGTCCGAGAGGCACCAAAATCAAGGAGACAGATCTGAAAAGACGAAAATGAACGTTTATCAAAACATCGCCCTTTGTCAAGTTGTAGCAAATTCAACTGATTTGGCATTCAATTAGCTGAAAAAATAATAGCAAATTTATTTGGTTAGAGTTGTAAACTCATAATGGAAAGATGTCATAGCTCATAAAATGCAATAGAAAGGTACAGATTGTCTAGGAATAACTTTGCACAGGTTGGATTGTCATAATGTGTTTTGTTTCATTTTGTTTTGTTTCATTTTAAAAGTAATATTGCTGCAAATTATCACCTTGAATAAGAACCTGGTGGAAAAAAAAGCCAAGTTACACCATGATTGAAAAAAGCTCTCATCTATAATAACATCAAAGTAGCCTAGGGATTTCATATTTCCCGCACTTTCTGTTGGATATTTATTTTATGCTCAACAAACCTGTCCAGTGGTAGGATTGTAGAAAAAATTTGACCAGTTAGGATCTGTTTGCATAAATCTGAACTCAAACAGCTCTTTCAGACAAAGTCTTAGGATGTCCAGGCACACCTGTAAACAAAAATAAAGCAAAATGAGGTGGATGATTTCGACCATAACTGGAACATTTTTCATGCTCATCTCAAAATTACCCAATATGTCTCACATTAAATATACTAGGAAATTCATCCCTGTTTCTTTTCTGGTCAAGACACAGCCATTAAACACCATTATGGGTCTGATAATTTGAAGTTTCTACCTTAAAAAAGCACGGCAACCTTTGAAGCCAAAGTTTCAAGCTTGCCTGAAGGAACATGAAAGCTAAATTTGTTCACATACTAGCAGTACCTTATTAATGGTATCTTGGTCAACATTTTCAATTTTGTCCAGTGATGTTCCGTCTATCAGCTCTGTAGTCAGCACTTGTTTGGATGTGAGATCTTCAATAACCTCTGGTACATAGAATTCTGGCATATCCTTCAGTAATTCCCTTAGAGGAAAGATCACATAATAAGTAAAAATTTTAGGCAGTATGTTAAAGGTGGACGTTCAAGCTATGGCTATTAATTTTTCTCACTCCCAAAATCTCAGTAGTAATTCTCCTTTCTGTCTGCCACACAGTTCTTATGATGTTAGTGTGGAGAATTTGGTATTGGATCAATTTATACATCTAATCCCCTAATTCGTATTTTTTTTTATTCCCATCAATTTTCTGAAAAGAAATACAGCATTGGTCTTCCTTCTGTGTGAGATGCACGCCATTGCAGATCACTTATTTGGACAGGTCTCTCTGTGTAAATTTACACTGTGAGAGTGAAGGGACCTGTCCAAAAAAACAATGTAAAAAGGGGCTTGCACCTTAAATGATCAGAAATTGAGTTAGTTCTGAACTCACAATTAAGATTTCTCTCAAACTTTGGAGAAATAATGATTACTTGATAACACAAAATGGGAATCACCAACCCTGATTAAGTGCACATTAAGAGTGTTTTAAGAAGCTGTGGTGTTACTTTGACAACTTATTTTGTCAAGAAAAAAATAAAAACTATTATAAACATAAGTGACCTTAAGACCTACCTAAATTGCTGTGAATTCTTGGCTTCTCTGAGGTAATCTACCTCCCAAGCCATTTCTCGCCGAGCCACATCAATGGCGTTCTCTGCATACAAGCCTGGTGTATCACAAAAAAGCCCAAAAATTGAGTAGGTTGAGGAATTCATTACAAAAGAATTATTTCCAAAACTAAATAGAAAATTAAATGTGCATAATTGAGTTAACTAAAGTTACTTGAGTTAACAAAAGCTCAGAACCTTGCCAGGTGTGGACTGAATGGAAAAGAAATCAATTCACAAGAACTGAGTTTAAAGGGTTTTGTTGAAAGTGATCCTCCAAATACTACATCTCTCAGTAATATGAATCATAGACTTTGTTAATGAATGATGTGACTCACCTTCTGGTAAAAGATTACCAACTTTCAATACAGTCATCAAATTGTTAATATCACTGTCAATGCTCTCACCAACACCAGGATACTGGTAAGTAATAAATCACAATCAAAATTAAACATAAAAAATAACAAGTCCTGGCAGCTTAATGACAGTCAAATTCTCTCCATTTTTCTAGAGCAGATAGAAATCTTCTGCGCTGGATTTAGGTGCAAATAGTTCTCCCTTCTCTTAGTTCTGCTGAATTTAACACACAGGGTACTTTTTCATGATCATTACATACTCTAGGCCTAATTTTCACTACTCTCTTGAGTACAACCTTCCTTCCTCTTCAAAATAGGAGCTGGTTATCAAGCCTAAATATATTTATTTTGACACTATTAGCATGCATATGTGAATCTGAAGGCAAAGAGATTTACAAGGTTCAACCATCCAGTGATTCAGGATGAAAAATTAACTGACTTGAATACCTGAATCTTAATGGCCACAGATCTCCCATCATTTAACACCCCTCTGTGGACCTGCCCAATGGATGCTGCAGCAAATGGTGTCATATCAAACTCTGAGAGCTTGTCACGCCAATTGACTCCCAGCTCCTTCACAAGCACTTTCTGTGGGAAGAAAAAAATTGTCTTCTGCTAAAACACAATATAGAAACAGTGCAACACTTGGTTGTACACCAGTTAGCTAAATGTACAATCATGTGCATTCACTGAGCCCTAAAATGCTACAATATACATGTAGGACATCATTCATAGCAATATATTCTGCATTTAACTTTTAGCTTACCTCCAGTTGCCAACGTGGCATGAAGTCTGCACTGTCACGCACTCTGTCAAATACTCTCTGTAGCTCAGGTGAAATAAATGAGTTGTCTGAAAAGGAGAAAAGTCATTTTCAGTTTGGTTTACAATCACAAAGTTTTATTTGAAGAGTCTTTTTTTCTCATTCTCTGTAAAGAAGTTGTAATAACCCTTGCTTACATTCTTTGAAATTCAACTGCTGATAAACATTTTTCCACACAAGGAGTTGAGGATAAATGTAACTGTTTTAATAGTTACTGAGTGACTGATTTACCTTGAATGCTCAGCATCTGACCTAACTTTAAAGCGGCTCCCCTCATTTTACACAGTGTAGTCACAATCCTTTCTGCATTTGCTTCTGACAGAAAAGCACTTCCAGTAAGGTCTGTTTTACTAGATCCTGTGATGTAATTCATAAGTAGAGTAAAAAGAATAAAAAGAAATGAGCACCTACAATGGTCAATCTAATTTTAAAGATTGTTGATAATTTTTTGTGCATTTCTCTACTTGCAGTTCAACTGCAAGCTAGGATAATTTTGTTCCTTGATATCATCCCCTAATATAAATATGATCTACTACATTAAATAAGTTATATTAATATTAAATTTCCCAGACAAGGTCATTCGTTGCATGATAAAGCAAAACTCTAAAAAACTGGTTAACCCTTTCACTCCCGAGACCTCATTAATTAGTAATTCTCCTTATTGTCTGCCACACAATTCTTGTGCTGTTTGATTGGAGAATTTGGTAGTGGATCAACTAAAAATCTCCTAATGAACATTTTTCTATATTCTCATCACTTTCCTGCTTGATGTTGTCATGATATTGTGAGGAGAAATTTCTTTGTGGTCACATTTGAGAGTATAAGGGTTCACAAGATTCTTAAGCACCTGTTTTGCCAAGACCAAGCTGTCTTTTCGCTACCTCTGCAAGAGTACCAAGACCTAATCCGGCAACAAGACCTGTAAATCATAGAGAGATCCATGAAGAGAGTAACCAAAGAATTTGCATGTAATAGAAATTAAATAACACAAATCAGAGAAGCACAACTTGCACTGCATCAATTCTGACTGTCAAAGTATAGCCCTATTAAAGAAACCAGTTGTCTGAGAGACAATGCTGATGACACAATTGCAATTTACACTTATATAGACAGAGGAACCTCTTTCTTCATTGATTGGGAGGAATGCCCATGTAGGGGGACACCCTTGGGACCAAGAAAAGTGTCCCCTAAATAGGGGTTTCCCTTCAAAGGAGATAACCGATAAATACATGTAAGTTTTATGTATAACTTTAAGCCTGGATCAAAGATAGCACTCCTTGCCAAATGGACCGAGGTATGAACTATGCCTCTTAAGGCAGTATCCCAAATTAAAGGTTCAACTCTCTTATAAATTGTAAATTAATCAGTTTTGTACAAATCTCTATTTATTATTGTGTATTTATTATTGTGTACTATCTGAAATGAGGGTAATAAGTTCTATATGTCAAAGATGTACCTACCACTGTAGTTCATTAAACGTCCTACTCTGGAAGAGGGGACAGCCTTTTCCTTTGATCTTCCACTCAGCTAATGGCAAATAATTTGTATCAAAGGTAAAACTTAGTTATCATCCATTGCTTAACTCTAGTACATGGCCATACCCTGGCCCAAAGAGGTTCATTTGAAATTCCAAAAGGGTTAGAAAGCATTAATCCAAGCTAGAAAGTTTAGAGAGTTATGTCTGGGTGCTGAAACCAAAAACAGTGGTATGGATATTTTTGCGCAAAACTTAACTAAAATATTTTCATGTTGCTATCATTAACATCATTCAAATTATGGTCACTATGACAACGATGATTATTACGAACATAGTCATCATCATCATCATCATCATCATATCATAAATATAATTACACCTAAAACTGTAACAAAATGATTGAACATGATTGGCTGTTATTTGTAATGATAACAGGACATGTGCTTGACAAAATCAAACAACTTCTAGGGTGGAGTCCACTTTTTTCAGGATGAGTATAACTACAGAGAGAATTGTGCAATATGAAGTCCTGTAGCAAATTAATCAAACCTGTGAAAAATTTTAGAAACAAACTAGCCATCGTGTGAAATATGCCACAACAACCTGTACAAATGATGTGTAACGTTTAATCACATAGTCATGATGCATACACTGTCCAATCACAAGCATAACACACATACACTATCCTATTAGCACTTACATTGGGTTGATGATAACCAAACAGGTTCAAGAATTTTGCTATAGTTTTGATTATGGCACTAATAGGACAGTGTACACCTCACTATTGTAATAAGACACTGGGTATGCATCATGTGCATGTGCTGTTGTCCTGCATTTCACCCAGTTAAATGTTTTTTAGGAAAAAGTATAACCAATAGCTACTTTGAGTATGTGAGTGATCTTTGCTATGATGGCTATTTTGTTTCTGAAATTTTGTCATGGTTTTGATTAATTGGTAGCAGCACTATCGATATAACCTTCAATTATATCTGTAATCAAACTTGTAAGTAACAATTTAGGCTTCTGCTTCACGTTCATGTGATTTTGTTCGCCACTTGCATGATTCCAGACAAAAACTGGGCTCTTCTCAGTCCTATCATTATCATTAATTATAACTATTATTTTACACAGAATAATTAAATGATATTTAGTAAATGGTTGACATAGGCCTTAAAATAACAATAAATGTCACTGTTATGAGGAGGAATTTTTCTGGTGACCATGGCAGGAGTTTTGACAGCCTGCGTAGAAGTCAAAACTACAATTTATAGATCTAATGGCCAACAGTGAATCAAACACACGTGTATCTTGGTATTACGTAACAGTGCAAAGGCGACCCCAGTCAAACAAGTGCCGTACCTTTTGATTTGTGGTAGCACGTGGAGCAATGTTTGGGTTTTGCGATGAAGGCTTCCTCTTTGTTTTACTCTGTAAATCTACCGTTGTTTTATTGGTTGGGGCAGTGTGAGTGACTGCAAGGTTAGACGCTGATGTAAACAATAAACGCTTTGGGTGTTGTTGATAAACAGTAGATGGCTGGGATGATCCTCTTTTGCACGATTTCAGCCTTCCCGTGTCACCTTGATAAGCACAATTTCCTTGGTAAGTTAGTACGTGTTCATAACTTGTTTTACTCGATGAAGCAGTGGTTCCTGAATATGATCTCGAAAGACGTGTATCCGATGTAGAAATCGGTCCTTGCTCTCCGGAGATATGTTTCGAAACGCTTATCAATCTCTTCCAAATATGAAAATGCCTTTCTCGCAGCATGATCAGTCTCTTGCAGATTGCATGAACTAGGAGCTCTGAGATAGCACGGAAAAATACTCTAGATCAGAAAACGCTTGCAGCAAGTCGTTCGAAAATACCCGTAGACATAAACATTTGACCAACGATACACGACTTCACGCTTTGTTTTCTTGAACTCCCGCGGTGTTTGTGAACAGCACATAATGTTGTGTAAGCGTCAAGGAGTGTCCCCAAAAAGTGCTAAGGTTTAAGAGTGCATAATGAGTCAAAAATTTTGTTATTTTGCAACAATTCATCCAGTCCGTTACATTTTCAGGCCATTTAATTACATTGTAGATTTCACTTATTCTATGTGCCGGTGGGATCGAAGGTCAGAATCCACCGGAGTGATTAAAGAAACGTTTTTCCCCCGAAAAAACGCTTTCGTTATCTTGATTTCGATTCTCGGTGAAAATCAAAAGAAAATATTCTCAATTCATGAGGTTTTGTTTGCTCTCAAAACGCAATGGTGCAAATAATTACGAATAATTGGTTCTAAGCCATTTTGCGGTCACGGTGGTTTTTTTTAACTCTGTGATCTGATTGGTCAGTGACAGATGACTTCACTCATCTACCTCTTGTGTTCGAATGTGGTTGAAACCGTGTAATTTACGCTGCAAACTTCAGACGTGAGGTCTTTCCTGGATGAAATACACACTACTTTGCTGTGGTTTGCATTTTTTACTCTAAAGGAGGATATCAGTAGGATCCAAAATAATTCCGCCATGAGTGCGGCGGACAGGCAGGGGAGAGATTACTTCGTTTCGAGAGAAGACTACGATAAGATGATCGAAAAAGTAAAACAATGTGAGGCCGAGAAACTCCAGGTTATGACAGACCAGGGAAGTTTAATGAGAGAGTTTAACAAGAGAATGCAAGTTCATTTAGAAGAAATACGTTTGCTAAAAGATGTAAATCAGAAACTTCAGGCAGATCTTCAAGAATTGCGGGATCTGACTTGCTATTTGGACGATGATAGGCAGAAGTGTCGAAAACTTGCTCGCGAGTGGCAACGATTTGGACGTTATACGGCATCAGTTATGCGAAATGAAGTAGCAAATTATCAAGAGAAATTGAAAGTTTTAGAGGATAAACAAAGTGATCTTTCACAAGACAATGCAGAGTTAAAAGAACTTTGTCTGTACCTTGATCGAAAGCGGGAATCCGTCGCTTTAGAAAACCGAACTTTCTGCACTAACTGCTCACAGCGTGTTGCGAGTAACCCGAGTTTGTCTCCAACCAAACAAAACAATACAGGTATCTGAATTGATTTTGCATCTGTACTCTTTCGGATATGTCTGGCCTAAAGCACGTTTCTTTCAATCCTGTTGCAACTATCGTCGGTAGAAGGAATAATACGCGGTCGGTGATAATCTATTTCTATCAAAGTAGGAATTTGAGATAAAACTTCAATGGTTTCCGATTTAGTTTTGCTCAAAGTGGATTTCGTTTAGAAACTCTTCATACCATTGTAACACATGTACACTTTTTTCGTTTTCAGGAAATGTCGTCGATGATCGTAGAAATTCTTTTTCTGAGAGACTTGAAGCGAAGTTAACGGATATTCAGGAAGGAACAAATCATGAGCGATCGTCTTCAGAAAGGGTAAGTGTAACGATAAGGAAGTTAAGAGGCGAAATTCACAATTTTCTTTATTTCTAAGCTGGAGACTTGACGATTTTTTTTCCGATTCTCGGAAAACAATGTTATAACTTGGTGCTAAAATTCTAATTTTATCAAACGATACTGGAATTTGCAAGTGTTTTAAAACAATCTACATACTCGAATGCGTAATTTACATACAAACATTCAGTCCAAGTGTTACGTTGTTGACATGTATCGAGTATCTGGGCAAGTGAACTCACGGCGATGAAAGATCGGTCGTATCCTACTTCAATGTGCAATCGCCCTATTATGAGTTAATTATCTTTACAAAACGACGTCTTTGATATAAATGCATGTCTTTTTGTTTTTGGGATTGGGCAGCGTTCCGCGCCATTTACTCCGCATAACACCAACGGGTGTTAGGTATTCAAGATCGTGTCGAGTAATCTCGGCGTCGTAAAATATTGTACTTCGTAGCCAGACTAAATGTCATCTCTTGAATTTGATCTAAGGAGATATCGTCCGCCTCACATAAGGCCGATGTCGCAAAGAAGAGAGTTTCTTTTACTTTTCCCGGAGACGTAGACACAGTAAGTTTATCAAGTTAATTTTCTTCCGATTTTTATGTTTAAAAGCGATTGTAACTCTACAGATTATCCATCTACGCCCGGGATTTTAAAAAGGCTATCCTATCAAATATTTGAGGAAGTTTCATAAGAAGATTTATATTATCTTACTTATCATTATCTTTTTTATCCTAAACAGGGTAGTTTTTTGTGGTTTACAATGCACTTAATTGATATGTGATACGTGTTCAGATATATATTGGTATGGGAGGGGCAGGAAGGAATCATATTCCAGTCAACCCGTCTGGCTGTGATAGAGGGCAAAGTCTCTATTAATCACCACTGTGACATGAAACATTGATTTTAAAAGGAGCAGAGATTGGTCCTTCTAAAGTAGAGACTATTCTTGCCAATATATTGAGTCAATAGTTTCTTTGACAGGTCTCTCCAATTTGTGAGTCTGACACCATCTTGATTCTGCTTGCAGGTTTAAAAACCACAGTGAATTCATGATTGAAAAATAGTAGATTATATAGTTGCAGAAAAAAATTCTTAAGATGTGTCATATCTCACAAACTCTCTCCAGCACCAATACCAGAAACATGCAGACATTATGTTTTTTTAAGAGGCACTGAAAATACTTCAATTTCAACTCAAATATCCTTCAGGTCATGATCAATTAAAATATACAATAAATTAGGATTGGGACATGGCACCGTTAGTACTCTTCAGTGTTTTATATGAATGATACCTTTTATGATTTACTTGTTGTCTTTGTTAAAAAAATGGGTGTAGATGTGTAAGGTCTGATCACTTTTTATCATCAATGGATTATTAAATATGACTCACTGGTCCTTAATTAAACCACCTTTTACTGAGTAAATTATACCACACAAGTAAATAGTGCTTTTTGCACATGCCTATTGGCTAGTTTGAAAGTAAATAGAAAATACTATTCACCTCTGAGCAGTTGATGAGACAAAATAGCATGCCAACAGTTTAATTTCAGGCTGTTTTTCAGTATATTAGAATAAATTAACCAATTAGTTTTTCATATCAATATGAGTGAAAGTGGTGGATATTTACATCACAGCTTCATGGCTTGGTAAATAACCACCACTATTCACCTCCACTATAGTGGATAATTGTTAATTATATTTTTGTAGGATACCGATAGTGTTCCAAGTGACACCCCACCAAGAATTCCCAGGAGTAATGGAATTAAAAGTAAGTTTTAGTCAAATTTCAAAAACTCAGCTTATTTTGATCTCAGAGCTTTGATATAGGTCTAAGCTAATTCAGGATAAATAGTTTAATTTGTAACTTGCAGCAAATGACCTAGGAATTGATTCAAAAGGATATGTTTGAGTTTCAAATAACTTACTTTGTTCCCTGATGATGCCGTAGAACGGCGAAAGCTCGGAGTAAATAAAGTAAGAAAGAACCACAGTAGCACTTAAAGGCTTCATTCGATCAATATCCCACAACTTACTTTGTTATAACAACTTCCAGCTTAAATCAATTAACCCCTTAAACCCTAAGAGTGACCAGCATCAAATTTCTCCCTTCAATATCACCCCTGAATCTCACATCAAGGTCATGAGAATAAAGGAAATGATCACCAACGAAAGAAGCTTTTGATTGGTAAACAAATTCTCCTTGTCAGCACCATAGGAAATGTATAAAGAACTGTATGGAGAATATGTATACTGATTTAAGGGTGTAAAGGGTTAACTCATCAAGTATTCTTTGAGAGCTGCAGTGTCCTAATGGTCATTGCACCGAAGAGGTCTGGGTTCAAGATCTGGTCAGGTTAATGTGTTGTGTTCTTGGGCATGACACTTTCCTCTCGCAGTGCCTCTCTCCACCCAGGAGGGGGAGGTCACCTTGCGAGGGGTGAGCATCCCATCCGGGAGGGGGTAGAGATATTCCTAGTCACTTCCAAGAGGCTCGGGTACAGACTTTGCCTTTACCTTTATTCCAGTATACTTGTTTGCATATTTTGCTTACTTTTACGACACAAGGACAGCAGTTCAGATGCATGTGGGTGTATAGCAGAGTTACCATTCAGGGCTGGGTTGTTCAAAGCTGGGCTAAGATAACCCAGAGTTTATGTGAATTTTGATTTCAGATCTGAGGACTTTAAAAGAAAATACAATTTGATTCTTTTTGTGTACAAGTTGATGACTGAATGTTCCATAGTAATTGGGAAAATTATCCCAAAACAGCTTTTAAACAGAGAAATATAGGAAACTGGGTAAAAATTTAACCCTGGATTAGCACTAGTAGGCCTTTGAACGACTGAGCCCATATGTATTTTTACATTACCATTGGGGCTAGTGCTTTTTATTTTGTGACTAAATCATACACTATGTGATGTAAATAATTTATATGTGTGTTTTGATTTTATTTATGTTTGTAATATAGATGGAAATCAGCCAGGAATTTTGAGAAATGGCATGAAACCACTTCCCAGACAGGTGCCTTGAAAATCCTTGAAAGGATACATGAATTCTTATCAATACTTTTTGGTCATTTGCAAAATAACATTAGATTTATATGTAACTGATCTTGATCATTTGATGATAGATCTGATCTCACTTTGTTTTACTGTTCTCAACTTTAAGTTAATAATAACAATTATTGAATCAAAGTTGAGTGGATATTTTGTTGATTTTACTCCAATTCTCCTAACCCTTTGGCCCAAAGAGTGTCTAACACCAAACTTCTCCTTACATCATCACCCCTGAATCACATATCAAGGTCAAAAAACAAATTATCCTTGTCAGCACCTCAAGAAATGTATAGACAAATGGAAAATATACATACTGATTATAGGGTGTAAAGGGTTAATATTAATAGTAATTTATATTGTTGAAAGATGTACCAATGATTCAATCTAGGGCCTGGGGCACTTATTTACTTTTGGTACCTCAAAGGAGGGGGCTTATTCAAGCTAGGGGGCCTATTTCTTTTTTGAGAACATCAGAGTGTGCAAAACGAAGCTTTCATTGATGTTTTTTTTAAAAGTGTCAAGAAAACTTGAAAATGGGCTTGTTGTTCAGCCGTAGATCCTTCTTTGCTAGAAGGATTGGCCGAGCAATGGCTACAAAATTTTGAGGGAAGATTATCTGTTTGAAGGCACTGTGACTTATATGGATATAGTTGTGGAGACTGAGACAAACCACTTTTTTTGTAATGAGGCTTGAAATGAGAAGGAAGATGAACCACAGTTGATCTCAATGCACATGTACTCTAGCAGTTCCATCACAAAAACAGAATAGGGGCACTTATGGGAATGAGAATGCTTACTCAATAGGGATGCTTATTAGAATCAGGGGCGCTTATTAGCAAAAACTAACTTCAGGTAGGGTTCTTATTAAAGAGGGGGTGCTTCTTGGAAGGAGGGTGCCAAATCGAATCATTACAATAAATCATCTAGAGGGTAAAGAATTAAAAGAATGACAATTTCTATGTAAACTTTTTGCAGGGTGACCTTCCCTTTCCTTCACCTCAACACATGACACCAGAAGCAGTTGCTCAGGCAATGAAAGTTTTAGAAATACATGAGAAGTTAGAGCATCCTGATAACCCAGGTGATTCTGATGAACCAGCAGACAGACTGGGTGACAATGAGGTGGAAGTCCTCAAAGAAATGTGTAATGTAAGTGTACTTTGTGTCCCTCCTTGTACATGTTGGTTCCCAGCCAGGTAAACTGGGTGTGGTGTGCACATGAAGTTGAGGTTTCACCCTTTGACCCCTACGCGTGATAAACTTCTAATTTCTCCTCTCAACATCACTCTTGAATCACAGATAAAAGTGAGAAGAATAAAGGAAATGATCACCAACTAAAGAAGCTCTTGATTATTAAATAAATTCTCCTTGTCAATATCCTAGGAAATTTATAGAGAACAGTATGGAGAATATGCATACTGATGTTAGGGTAGAAAGGATTCATGTTAAATGCACCACATTTTTTTTTAGCTTCATATTTCTCATTTACATTTTTCTGAAATTCATGGATTTTAGGTTGTGTGGAGAAAGTTATCAGACGAGCCAGAACAGAGACAAAATGGCACCAATGGGCATGAGGAGGAAGAAATCCTTGAAGACTTGTTGTAGACTCTGTTACAGTAATTGCTTTAAATCTTTGTCTTGTCGACATTTTTTCTTGATAACAGTAGCAAAGCAGATTAATATTTATTATTTAATTGTGATCAGATAAAATACTGTCAAACCTTTCCATAGTAAACATCAGTTCTTTGGACAGAAGGCAGTAGCCATTGTAGAGAGTTGGCCTTTATGTAGAGGCTTTACCTGCAAGCATGTCCTCATCACTAATGCTTCGGCACAAGCATTTCTTTGCCTGCTAGAAAGTATGAGGCCTCTAGCATTGGGGGAAGGGTTGTGGCATGACAGCTCACTCTGATGTTCTCAAAGGCTTGAATATTGTTTCATTTCTGCTTCAGCTAGTTTTGGCACATGAACTGGCTATGCAGAGTGGCAGCCATGTAAAGAGGTTGAAATAAAATGTTTTGCTGGGAAAAATGATAACACTGCTGTGGCACAATGAGTAGGTTCCTCTGTAATACCTTTTATTAACCTTCAACTCCCAGAAGTGATATAAATTTCATTTCTTGCTATAATATCCATGTTTTCCTGTAAACAGGTAATGAGAATACTCAAACTTATCAGGTAGAAGGTGTTACTTAGATCTAACACCAAATTCGTGTAACTTATTCACAAGGAATTCTGTAGCAGTTAGAGGGGAGAATTAATAATCAGATCTTGGGAGTTAAAGGGTTAAATCTAATAAGGATTTTAAGAAAATTTTTTTTTTTTTAGTGCAGTGAAATTGTTGTGTATATAGAAGTATCTATTAACTGCACCACAGTTTTTTGATTATACCCATCACTCTGGGGTATTCAATATTTTTTGTGGCACAAATAATAGTTGGACCTTTTTAAATTCATTGCCATGATTCTTCATCTCTTCAATTTATTCTTGTACAAGTTGAAGTCTTGTGTAGAGTATGAGCAGGAGTATAAGGCTTTTAGTCAACTTCTTATATTTTCATGGCCTGAGAAAACCTTTTACTGTTTTCAAGTAGTCCAGCTCCCTAGTGGCAAGTTATTTCCATGTCAGGGTTTCAATTTCAGTGGTTCTACAAGGAAAGGGAGTTTTGGAGGTCTTTGCAGGTCTCAAAATTTGCAATTTGCACCAAGGACTCTGTTGGGTGAAGGGTCTATTTTGGTCTGTTGGCAAATTTTTCCAGTGGTTTCCTAATCTTTAACCATTGGGTGAATTTTTTTTGATAAGTAAATAACCATGTTTGAAAGGTAGTTAATTTGATCAAGCTGTAAAGTATTACTGGAGATTTTGCAAAAGCTAACCTTTGGAAATGTAAAAAGACCAGAGAGCATTTATGCAGTTTTTACCTTTCATGATAGAATTATGCATAATATTTATTTGATATTTAAATGTTTTAGCAAGGTTTTTTGATTTTTGTTATACATGGAAAGGAAAACTGTCACCTGAGAAGGAAATTCTGTTAAAAAAATATTTACCAAGTTTTGTAAACAGAAGAGTAATTTATCTATGAATAAAAATATTTGATTGAAATCTGAAGTTTCAAATAGAAGATATAAATGTTTTTGCTCTCGTTATTAGCATTTCTTTGACCTTTGAGTTGGCAAGAGGTCTGAAAGGGGTCTGGCATTGATAGACCCTGGTAAACCTCTTCCCGACTCATCTCAAATCTTTGTGGGGGTAGAGAAAGGTGCATCTTGATCAAAATGAGGGCCTAATTGCCAGCTATGGTATTCCTTGTCCTAGAATTTGTATATAAGAGGTCCAGATTGTTTGTCATGGTGTATTGACTGAGAGGCCTTGCTCTCCATTTGGTACAATTATGTTATTTACAATACTTGTAATTAAAATAAATATGTTGCTTGCAGGGACCAAGATATATAAATTCAAAGTAGAAGCAGTAAACTGGAGACAACAACATTTATTGTCAATATTTTATAAATAAAATTTTCAAAATAACAAACTACAAAGGAGGACCCTTCAATCAGGTTAACTCTGCACGTAGTCTTGAAAGTTAACTTAATCTACTTTAATAACTTTAATTGTTGTCAAAAACACAGATATTATAAAGGTTACTTCGGGACTTATAATTTTTTATACAACTATCATTATCTTTTATCATCTCATCCAACCTCCCATCTGTTGGTTCTGTGATGGAGGAACACCAAACTGTCTTGGCCATTGATAATCTTTTGAGCCAACCTGAGGAATTGGTGGCATTTGTCCGCCATGCAATGGTGGAAGGGGAGGGGGAGGGAGTGACATCGGAGGGTGAGGTGGTCTGCCTTGAGGAGGTGGTACCCCATATGCTGCAGATGTCTGCAGGGTGCTGACACCACTTGGAGGTGGAGGGTATACAGCACTGCTGGGCATGGGGGGAAGGGGTGGAGGAGGAACATTGGGGAAACCAGCAGGGGTAGCAAAGTGAGAATATCCTTGAGTTGGTGGCAAATACGACTGGTTTTGAAACTGAGCAGGTAAGTGAAATGAAGGCACAGAACCAAGAGTTCCACTTCCTAATGTAGGCTGAAATGAAGCATTTGTTGTCAGTGTTGCAATTCCTGCTGGCTGTACTGTCTGTTGGTAAATGTTCATAGCGTAGGCTTGATCCGAATTGTAAGACGATGTAGCCACAGCAAAAGACGTCAAAGTAGGTTGCAAAGCAGCAGGTGCCACTGCTGCTGATGTTTCAATTATTTGCTTTCCTGTTTGAGCTGATGCAAATGTAGTGTCAACAGTTTGGGTAACCTTGGGTGGTTCAGTTGTGACTGTTGCAATCGGAGGCTGCTGCTGCTGCTGTGTGGAAACTGGTGCAGGACTGACATTCTCCACTTGTATTTGAGATGACGTCAAGGCTGGAGGCAGTGGCTTCAGTGGCTCTGTAAGGACCTGACTTGTAGCAGCAGGAGTATCTGATGAAAGAAAAAAATCCTTTGAAAAATTTTATCTACTTTTACAATTTAGTCTGCAGCAAGAGACAGACAGAGTCAAAAAGAAAGCAATCCATTCACCTTGAACAACATATTTTTAACTTTTTTTCTTCCCAGGTCACTTATTCTCAGGGTACAGCAGCAAACAGTGCTGCATTGCTGGGGTTTATAACAAGATCATTTGTTTTTTTTTTTCAACAGAGTTGATAAATAAGTGTAAATTGGCCACTGCAGGGAGTTTCTATGAGTAAATGACGATACAACTAACCCTTGAAATTTCAGCCCTAGAAACTCTTTACAGTGGCAAATTTAAATTATTAACAAAGTTGGAAAAAACCAAATTGTCACAATTTATCATCTAAAGCACCACAGTTTCTTTAGAAACTCACCCCCATTATTTCCTTGTGACTTTGCAGCTTGTTTTTGCAATTTCCAGTACACAATACTTCAAGTGCCCTCAAAACTGCCAACCATGCAGGTCAAATTAAGATACTATTATTATAAACTTGTTCATACCTGGAGCCACCGTCTGGGATTTGACCTCTGAAGATGTACTTGTGTGTTTCTGACAGGAGAAATAGTTATTTTTAAATGTCAGTTTGTCAAGACCTCACTCACAAATACAAAATAGATCTACAGTCAACCTCAAAACGAGTTGACACATCATGTTTGAACAGTCCAATTTATTTTATGTGTAGATTAACACTCCTGTGACTACCCCACTTTAAA